AAAAAAAAAAATTCATTTTTCTCTCCTTTTTTATTTTTTCTTCATATTTTTGTTGTTGTGTTGTTTTGTTTTTGATAATTTTGTAGGATGATGAGAGTTTGAGGAGGTGGAAAGAACAGCTTCTGGGGAGTGTGGACATCAATGCTGTTGGAGGTATTTATTTTTAATTTAATAATTTTTTTCACATTTTCATATAAATTGGGAAGATGCTACGGTCCAGAATCATCCCGTCGGGGTTTGTAATCGTTAGATAAACTATTCTCGATAGTTACATGATGATCTATAGGTTACAAATCACGAACCATTTCCCTATAAATTGCAATGGTTTTTAGGTACAATCCAAGAATGCTCTGAATTGTTTTTGTCCTGTTTTTAGAAGTCACTTTTATCATATTATGGCTCTACAATGATCATACACTTATTTCTGTTTGGAAGTGTTCCAAATATATGATAACATTTTTTTCCCTTAATTGTGAATTGAATTTGTGCTTGATCAAATATAAATGATGATCGAGCAAAACTCGAATGAATCGACACTAGCAAAACTCGACTATTATTGGCCGATTAGGCGAGATTCTAGTCTTTTTGTATCTAGAGAGTATTGATCATGAAGCTATTTATTTATTCATGTGACTTTTTTTATTACTTTTGTAGAAACACTCGATCCGGATGTGAAATTCTTGAGCCTTGCAATAAAATCTCCCGGGAGAAATGACATATTGTTGTCAGTCCCAGAGGTTGGAAATCCTAAAAGCCCGTGGTTTACTTTGAAAGAGGGAAGCAAATATAGCCTCGAGTTCACTTTCCAGGTCAACAACAACATTGTATCGGGCCTCAAGTACAAGAACAATGTCTGGAAAACCGGCATTAAAGGTTTTGATAATAATAATAATACCTGATTAATTTTCACGCCTTCTTTTTATTTTGATGTTATTACATTAGCTGTACAATCAACACCATCCAAACAAAGTAAGACTGATCTTTTTTTTTTTTGTTGCAGTGGACAGCACGAAAGAGATGATTGGGACATTCAGTCCTCAGCCAGAACCTTATAAGCACGAGATGCCGGAAGAGACTACTCCGTCTGGCATGTTTGCTAGGGGTTCGTATTCGGCAAGAACACAGGTAATTTACTAATTTTCGATTTGGCTCATTCGTGTTTTCTTGTTTCAACCTGTTATGTCTGATGATCTTTCGGGGTTCATTTGTTGTTTGTGCAGTTTGTTGATGATGATAACAGATGCTACTTGGAATTAAACTATACATTTGAGATCAAGAAAGAGTGGCAGCAGACATAAAACCAGTCTCTAATCCCTTTCTGCACCAAAAATGTATCTCTTATCAGCTTTCGACTATCTATTGGTTTTTTTTTCGATTGTTTGTTTTAATGTGGTGAGATTATAGGACCTTGGAGAAAAAAAGGACGAATATAATGTACTTGCTTAGTCGGGTTTTTTTTCGGTTTTTATAGTATTTTTAATCAGCAGTTGATTGTCATGCAACAAACTTGTTCAGTTGTTCATGACCTGAAACTGTTTCACAGTTTACTTTCTTTTTCTTAAAAA